TGGGAGCAGATATTTTCGTCTCCAATCACAGCTCGCCACGTGGAAAAGAAGATTATCTCTTTTAATTAATTAATTGAACCAGTTTATCTGGCCAATTAATTAATTGGGATAAATATCTTAATTAACATGATATTATCTTTATTTAATAAGATAATATCATTAATTAAGATATTATCCTAATAAAGAGAAGATAATGTCATTATCTCAGATATTATCTCCATAAAAAGAGATAATATCATTTAATTAAGATATTATCTCCATAAAAAGAGATAATATCATTAAATCAGATATTATCTCAGTCCGACTCGATCCCTACGAATTTGGGTAGAGAATAAACTCAGCATATTCTCTACGAAACCCTAGCCCCGAGGCTCCTATAAATAGATGACTTCATTCATCATTCAAGGTACATCTAAACCTACTCCTTATACCCGAGAAAAATACCCGAAGCTCTTTCTCCCTCTCCACTCTCTATATTTTCTCCACACGGCTCCGGCCACCACACACGGCTCCGGCCGTCCGGTTCACACCCTACATAAACACTACTCCGTACCCTTTGCTTAGCTATTGTTTTTCCACAAACACTCGAACTAACTTAGGCATCGGAGGGCCTTTGGCCAACACCCCCCGGGTGTGGTCTATTTACTCCAATCTGTTTTACAGGAATCGAGGAAGAAAGAGAAGGAAGATCGAAGGTTGAAGGATCTAGAAGCGAATATTCTCCCGTGAGATTATTTGCACAAACAGTAATGAACTCTGAAGGCAGATGATATGTTGAAATATAGGATGGTTTAACGTGTAGGAAAATGAAAAATATGTATGAGGTTATAGAATTTTTTGTTGTTGTACTTCGGTTAATAAATTTGAAAAAATGCAAAAAGAAAAAGGTTTGGGCTTAGACCAAATGGCCGGACCCAAATTGTTCAACATTGTCTTGATTTAGTTCGGTTTTCTCAGTGATTATTGTTAAAATCGAACTGAATCAAACCATTGTATTGAAATTAATTTGTCCGCAGTTTAAGAGTAAAATTGATCCAATACATTTCGGCCCCTAAGTACATACATAATCGGATTAAGGTAGGAAGTACATTTGATATTTCCAGTTGTATATAATAAAGTAGGGGTGGGCATCTTAAACCGAAATACCAAAACCGTACCCTAACCGCACCGTACCATACCGATTTCATACCGTTTCATTTGGTATGGGGATATATTCGGTACCGTATTGTACCGTACCAATAGAATATGGTATGGTAGCGGTATCAAGATTTTGGTACCGGTCAATACCGTACTGTACTGAATGGTATAACTTTATGTTTTTGTTATTTATGTTTGGGTTGTGTTTGTATTTTTGTAAGCCATAAGACATAATTTTAACTATTTTGGTTTGTAAGCTATAAGGCATGAGTTTAACCATTTGGGTTTGATGAATTTGTTGATGGATAAATATCGATTTGGTTGATTTGGATATTGAATATGTTGATGGATATTGAATATGTTGATTAGGATTTGGATATTGAATATGTTGATTATGATTTGGATATTGAATATGTTGAATCTTTGAATTTGTAACTTAGGCATCACTTATTTTGGTGTTGAATATTGAATTGGTTCCTTTTTTAGTTGTATCATTTTCGTACCGAAATGATACCAATACCGTACCAATACCGATTTGGCACGGTACGATACGGTACCAGTTTTGGCAAACCATAATCTCATACCGTACCATACCGATTTAAATTTCTAGTATCGATAGCGGTACGGGCTCAATACCGTACCATACCGTACTGTGCCCACCCCTACAGGGCTGCCAGGCCGGCCCAAGGCCATGGCTTTTTGGAGAGATTTTATGGAAACCGAAGGACATGGGCTCATGACACCAAAATTTTCTAAATTTTGAGCCATATGAAATTTTTGAAAACATTAAAATAAAAATAAAAATAAAAATTTGGACCACATCAAAACTAAACAATATACCTACATTAACCCTTAAATGTATATTTCTGGGGTGATTTGTGTGAATATTAGTCTGTTTTGAGAGTTCACTGAGGGTGCCGAAAGCTTATGACCAGCCCTAATTGAGGGGGAGAGATATACAATGTCGTTACAATTTTTTTATTTTATTGAACGTTACAAATTTGGAAGGTATTTAATTTTTACCGGTTTGGGTTCCATGTACTGTCTCATAATTATTGAGTAATTTGATAGCTAATTATGGGGTTTATATTCAGCAAATTAACCAACACAAGAGGATATACATTATTTTTTAACACGAGCGATTTTTTTTTTGGGGGGGGGGGGTGGTGTAGGGTTTCTCGCATACAAAGTATCATATAGAGGTTCAAACCTAAGACCACTAGTTTGCAAATTAACACTATTTTCCATCGGGCTCAGACTATGTTGACCAAGAGTTATATAAATTGAGATATAATTATTCGGGAAAGATATGAGAAATGCCTTTGGAAAATAATATTAACAGGTGCAAATGGAGAGAAGCCCATATAAAAATGAAAAAAAAAAAGAGTACAACCTAAGAAAAAGGTAAGAGAGAATTAAGGGATACGATTAACGGTGAGAATAATTTTTGCTTGGGGGTTTTATGAATAATTTATTTTCCAGAGCCAATCAAAGGAAAAGGATAAATGATGATGATGATGAAGAAGAGAAAGAGAGAATAAAATTAACTTACAGAGCCAATCACCAACGTAAAATGTTTCGTGAGAAGACCACTCTGTGAGGTTAACGTTTGATGGCCCCCAACTTGTCTTGCTTCCTCCAACATAATGCATTTTCCCACTGGCATTACCCATCTCAGCTCTCAACATTATCACCATGGCCAATGTCATGCCCACCGTCAACACCCTTCTCAAACTTAAAACCTCCATCATCACAACTCTCTCTCTCTCTCTCTCTCTCTATATATATATATATATATATTTATGGAGTGTTGTTTATGGCAAGAAAAGTTGGGTTCAGGCAGTCTAGGGCTGTCAATGTTAATTCTCATTCATTTTATGTGATTTGGAGTTTACCTTTAATCCCTTGATTTTTTTCTGGATTTAGCAGATTCTGCACCTATTAATTTACATGAATATTTAATGCTGCTTTAATTAATAGGGGGCCAAAAATTGTTGAAATGGCCTATTGGCCATTCTTGATTTATTATTGCCATTACTGGATTTTTATTTTCTTTGTTTGTTCGGATAAGTACCGATTTTCTTTTTTCTTTTTTGATTTTTAGTCGCACCTAGACATGTAAACGGATTGGATATACCTTAATCTAAATTCAAATTCATTTATAATTGGATTATCAGATTCGGATCGTATTCGAACTATTAGATTGCACCTATCGGTCCATATCCGTTACACATTAGATTTATTTTGAGATGTATCAAAAATCAAAATTTCATTAGTAGCTTAGTTTTTTGTTGTTGTTGTTGTTGTTGTTGTTGTTTTTGTATTTATCTACTTTTTATATCAATTTTTTTTAGTCATAAATATTAGTTTAAAGTGTATTCTTAGTGCTATAAAACTAAAATTACACATTTACACATATAAAGCATAGAAAAACTAAATTATACTTCATACTAAGTCGGATCAGATTAACTATATCCGGATCCATTTATAATCAGATTACCGGATTCAGATTATTGGATTGAGAAGTCCAATCCATCTCCTATTAATTACACCGAATTCAGATCAAAATCTGATTCATTGACAGGTCTAGTCGCATCCTTAATTGTAGTAGAGTTATTAAATTTGTGCACCAAATAATTTATTAGCAATCCCCTCCCCGTTGATCTAAAATAATAATTTGTCGGTATATTTATATATAAATATGCAGACACAGTCTGTCTCCTCGTAGGTTAGATTAATTTTGAGTAATTTAGACTACTGCTTGTATTTATAAAAATAATCACTAATGCTATTCTTTGAAAGGAAGCCCCGACAACACAAGGATTCATTTATTGAGAATCAATAAATACAACTTAAGAGGCATGAAGCCTGACCAAGATCCATAGAAAGTCAGAGGCACATATACCCAAACCACCGAAATCACATATTTAGACACACAAGATTGACCACCTTTTTTTTAGGCAACCCACATGATTGACCACCTTATGTGACATCTTATGCAGTCATGTCATGTCAATTAATGAATATTGTCATGTTAATTCTTTTTATTTATTTATGAAGATACGACATCACTCTAGCGAGGACGTGGCAAGAGTTATAGTTTCATCAAAAAAATCAAAAAAGTAAAAACTAACCTTAGAGCATCTCCAATAGTAATAGCAAACCAAACTCTTTAAATTGAAGTTTGTTGACTTACGTGACAATTTAAAAACCTTCGTTTGCTACTTAAATATTTTGTGCCGCACCAGAGTCTTCAATTCAATTAATGCAATGTTATGGAAAATAATGAAAAATATGAAAACATGTAAAAAATGTCTATGTATTAATTGTTTAAAAAGAAAAAAATGCATGTTTGTAATATTTTCAAAGTAGGTTTTATTTTTCCAAAGTAAAATTAAATGTTTTGAAGAGTTAAGGTCAACTTACGTGTCCTGAAGAGAGAGAAAGAGATTCCAGTTTTCATAACTAAGTTTGACAAGGCTGTTGGAGAGGGTTTTGATGATGTGACTCACCTATTTTAGCATTCCAAAGTTGTTGAAGACGCTCTTACCAACCCCTCCTCTCTCATATCTTTGCCACCCCTACCAACCCCAACACCACCCAAGTCGTTATGCCATTCACCGTATCCCCCACAGCCTTCCATCAGTTTTGATATTCTTTTTCTCCCTTCCTCGCAACCCCTCTTCTGCCTCACCTTTCGTGGAAATATTTAAACAATAGAATAATAGTTAATTTTAAACAATTTTTCTCATGACAAACGAAACCAACAGCCTCTACACCCAGTGGCGGAGCCACAGTGGGGCCATTGGGGTCGCACGACCTCTTGGAAGCCATGGAAATAGGCTTAGAGGTCCATTGGAGTTGCTGGTGCGACCTCTTGGAGCTGCACACCAAGTGGTCGACGAAATATCTAAAAGAACGATGGGTTGGAGGCCGAAGAAGAAGGCTAGTGTGCGCCAGCTTTTTTTTTTTTTTTTTTTTTTTTTAAAAAACGGCCTGGCCAAAACAACATCGTTTTGGGCCAGGTTTGAAAAAAAAAAAGACCAGCATATCCTCTGGCTTCTCCACAACACAACATGACTTGTTTTGGGCAAGGTTTGAAAAAATAAAAAAAGGACTAGCGTATCCTCTGGCTTCTCCACAACACAACTTGATGGAATCTGTCCTTAAGCCAAAGTTTAAAAGTATTTTACATATTCTTGGCCACACAGAAAACTTTGCTCTTCAGACTGTGAGACACTATAATGGCTTAATTATGTAAATGCCCCCTGTGCTTTCAAAATTATCTCAGATTATCACCTGTGTTTGCAAACGTCTCAAAGTACCCCCCAACGTTTTAAAAACCGTCTCACGTTACCCGCTCCGTCAGTTTTTTTGACGTTCCGTTACAAACGTTGGGCCCCACTTCGTTTTAATCTTTAACCTCTTCGAATAAGGGTTTCTCAGTTTCTAACAAAGTGGGAAATTGGGTAAGAAGGGGAAATTGGAGAAGAGGCTTGTGAAAATCTGAGGGTTCCTTCGAGTTTGGGAAAATTTGGGAGAAGCTAGAGAATAAATTAGGGTTTATAAAACTTTGAGGTGGAGTTTGAAATTGGGAGATTGTGAAGTAGAAGATTTGGGTTGATGGAAACATGAGAGAAGCAAGGAGAAGGAAGGCATGGCCAATGGTGTCATTGTGGGAAGTTAGCACGGATGCAGACTTCTTGGAGCAGTTCAAACCCAGGGCGAAGATTTCTAGTCTTCCCAAAGTCAAAGGCAAGCATGTTTAAGATCAAATTTTCAGTCATTGTTTTGGGCATCACAAATTGATAGAGTTTTTATTGATGAAATTGTCAATGATTGATGAAATTTTTAGTCATTTTACCACCCAAATTTTCAGTCATTGTTCTTGGTTGATACAGGGAAGTGGAGAAAAAGGATGTAGGTTTTTTTAGTGGTTTGATGCAGAAATGTGTGAGCGTTCAAAGTCTTTGATACCTGGTTTTCTGAGGAAGATTGATAGGGTGGAGAAGGAAAATGCAAAGATTCGAGCAAAGTCAAAAATATTGTGGGCTGCTATGTTGCTTTCCTAGTTGCTAGTTATGTTTGATCTGTGATATGAATGGTAAATTGTTTAGAGGTTACAAATGAGATTAGACAAATCAACGTGTGATATTCAGTTTGATTTGTGATATGAATGGTAAATTGAATGGTAATTTCTTGATGAATCTAGAAGAAGAGAACCAAAATTCAGTTTTCCCTAAAAAAGCAGGACCTGCCTTCTTTGCCAAAGTTTATGGTGGATATGTAGCCTTTGGTAACATGCCAAAGTTTACTGGAATCTGGAAAGCAAGAGGCAAAACCCAAAACTAGCAAAATCACATGTCATTATAAGCACAAACCAAAACAGAACAGGTTCCAAAACATAACACAAACCAAACTAGGTTCCAACCATAACAGCCTTATGAATATATGCACAAACCAAAACAGGTTCCAAAATAGATTCTAACCATAACAACCTTAGGAATATATGCACAAACCAAAATAGGTTCCAAAATAGGTTCCAACCATAACATACATCAAATATTCAGGTTCCAAAACAGGTCCAACCATAATAGGTTCCAAACATAACAGACGTCAAATATACAGGTTCCAACCAAAACAAGTTCCAACCATAACAGACATCAATAATCCCACAAACCAACAACCATTTCTGGACCATTAAAGTCTTCCACAACATTCAAGGATGAAAAAAAGGATCTTTGACAAAATGGCTCTTTTGTTGATCTTTCATCCTCCTCATACGTTGTTGTACTCGAGATAATTTGGCAGGTTCAGATGCTTGAGATGGTTTGGATTGAAAAGCATCAGCTGCTTGAGATGGTTGGGATTGAGAAACATCAGCTACTTCAGATGTCTGGGATTGAGAAGGCCCTTGGGAACTGCTTGCTTGTTTCCTTCGCCTTAATTGCATACTCTGTTGTCCGCTACTTTGGTCTCCACCATCTCTCCTTCTTACCTAAAACAAATAATAATTAGAAGTTTCCATTATATAAAATTTTGATGAGTGAAAACATAGTTGAAACCGTGGCACTTACTGCAAGTTTGTCCTTGGCAACGTTCCTCTTCCTAGTAGGCTTTATGTTAGGATTTCTAGGTTCCTAATAACCAAATTCCTCAAGTCAGAAACCAAATCAAATACATTTAAATGTAAAGCAATAAGCCTATAATGACACATACCTTACAACTAATTCGATTATGCCTTTCTCCATCGCAATTGCCACACTTTAAAGGGATGCCATACCCAGGAAGCTTATATGGATTAGCAGGTTGTTTAGGTTCATCAACAACTTGTTTTCTTGTCTACTTAGGCCTACCAGGCTGCTTGTGGTATTTCGGAGGGAGTAATGGAGGTAAATTAATCTTCATCCACTGATCTTGGCTAGTCATAGGCATAATCATTGGTTCATAGGCTCTCAAATAAGCCTCTTTCTTGTACACTGCATCACAAAAGTCCTCTGGATTCCCATGAAACCAACTTATTGCAGCACAAGCATGCAAACATGGTATTCCATTCAAATCCCAAGCATGGCATCAACAAGAGTGGGCATTCAAATCAACAGCAAAGGTGCGGCCACTATGGTCATTACTTCAAACTTATTCTATCCAGCAGCCTTAGGAATGCACCATTGAGCTTTTCCTTTGTTTTTCTCTAATATCTTTCTAATTCTTGGCCCAACTTATCTATGCCATTTCTCACATAAAACCC